TCAAATTTAACTGAACTTGAGCAGTTCTGCAAATAAGAGTGGGCAAATATTGCAAAGTCTAGATGTGCAAAGTTAGTAGACTAAAGGCTATAACTAAAGCAAAAAGTGGTTCAACAAAATACTGACACAAGGGGGTGATCCTTTTTCCAACAAATTTTGTTTTTGTTGTTTTTTCTGACATATTGGTGTTATATCTTTCACTTGGATGTTATAAGTTGCACTGAGTAAATGCAGCTAGACAAAACAGAAACCATGTCCGTCTTAATTTCAGACTGAAAAGCAACAAAATGTGATTATTTTAAAGGGGGGTGATTCTTTTCTATACCCACTGTATGTCTTGTGTCATTCTGCATGTTTGACATCATCTTCACAGCTAGAATGCATCAATCAGCGATCATAAGCATGTGTGATGATGAACACTGTAATATGTTTGTAGGATGAAAATAACTGGGAGTATTGAGTCACCTGCTTTGAATGAGGTAGGTGATCATAAATATGTATCAGATTACTCCTACTATATATAGTCACAGGATGATATTGTACTACATACTGTAAATACACTGAGCATTTCCACACACAAACATACAGTATATGCAGCATGCAGAGATAGCCAACTGTAATGATCTACAGATGCACAATAAATCATTGACCATAGAGGTATGGGTCAATATTAGCATTTGATCTGATTAGACCTGATCTGATAGATGTTTCAACAGAACTGAACAGTTAAAGGGTTAGTTCACCCAAAAAATGAAAATTAGCGCTGACCTCATACATCATCAGCCCGGAGCTGCTTCCGTGTACAACTGTTGGCGCAAGCTACATTAAAGTGATTATTACGTTTTGAATATGGATATTTTTCTTACAAAAACGCATCGATTCGCTACAGAAGGCCTTTGTTCACCCCCCGGAGCCGTGTGAGACACTCTTTTTTTATGGATGGATTTGCTTTTTATTTAACTTCTTTTGGACTGATGCATGCAACACCCGCTGAGTGGCATTAAACAGCTTGAAAGATCAAAAACAATTTTGAATATAACTCCGACTGGATTCGTCTGAAAGAAGAAAGTCATATACACCTAGGATGACTTGAGGGTGAGTAATTTATGGGCTAATTCTCATTTTTGGGTGAACTAACCCTTTAACCTTTTTTTTTTTTTTACTGTACAAATGTTTTGATCCCTGGTTTTCATTATTCTACATTCTACAGAGTTTCAATGCTGTTAAAGTCAGTGTGTAATGGAAATTAATCTTGCAGCGAAACAACAGGCTTCTCTCTGTTGACATATGTTGGACTTCTCCAAAACCAAAGACTCTAATTCAAATCCCAACAGTTACTAGTATCTATTCCAGCTTGTGAATTCAAGACATAGTATTTATTCTAATAGTTTTGAGTAAATTTCACTATTAGAATACATACTAGATAGGGTACTGAAAATGATTAAAAGATTCTAATCACTATTGGACTAGTAATTTAAAAACACTCATATCAAAAATAGATACTAGCTAGTTTAATGCAATAATGTTTAAGCAGATTGCCTTTTTCTCATAACGTCCAGTCAATGTGTTTTGTGTATTTAGGCAGTGTCAATATCAAGCACAAAAATCCATAATAAAATGTGCGTCCTGTCACTCCGCCCAAACGTACAAGTAGACCGGTCAGTCCTACTGACGTCAGACGGCTTATTCACGGAGGCTGTTTTATGAATTAATGACTCCAGCAGTATGTGACCTATTCTAGCACACGTTACATAAAAACAACCCACGGTTTCTAATCAAGAACGGCTATGATCGAGAGATCTCACGTAAGATGTGCAAAAGCACAATGCATGCACTACACAAATCTATATTAACATGCATTTAATCCACGTAAATTAGAAATTTGAATGCCTTACTTTAACTGGGATGCAAATAGGAGAAACTAGATGCATTTAACACGCATGGCCCAGATTCGCAGTGAATAATGATGCTCAGGTGCAGGGGCTCTAGACAGTCATGTGATTATTTACCTTTTTATGTCTTCCCTTGAAGACGACCGCAAAGGCTCCGTGTCCGACGAGGTCTTTTCGGCTGTATTCAAAGTCTCCCACCGTCTCCATTTTTTTTTGGCAGGTGTCCGGTGATACACAACAGCTTGTGATGGAGAGGCTGTCAGGGACAAGTTCTTCAAACTCTCGTTAATCCAGACTGTCTGGGTCTGTCCGAGAACCCTGTCATCGCCAAATTATCAGGCGATTTAGTACACTTGAGAGTTTTCTAACAGCTGCCTGGCCTAAAACCAAGACGAAGTCAGAATCAAAACAAAGGAATGGCTAAGTATGAAGTTTACTAGCTAGATGCGCAGGATGCACCTAACTAGTTCCGCTGTCACTCTCTGAACCACTTAATAAGACATTTCGCAAAATAGCTGGATGAAATAGCTAGTAATCAAACTCAAACATATATCGTTCCCAAGCTACATGATGTCAGTTCAGTCTGAAAGGAAAGAACGAGGTTGCAAACGCCCTCTCTCCCTTACTGTAATAGTGCCTCGTTAACTCAATAACGGCGCGGTGGGTCATTGAGTTTCCCATCGCGAGCTGGCTAAAATGACAGCTAGAGAAAATCCAGCAGTATTTACAATTACAACGCAGCAGATAAATCGCAATAAATAATATCTAGAAATGTTCTACATCTATTTTACATATAGACAAGCGGTGCCGCTTATACAATGGCAGGTCAGTTCACAAAAAGATAAGATTAAAAACGCGATCCAGCACCGTTCCGATGCGTTTAATGCAATAGTCATCTGTCCTTCTGCAAAAATATGGTACTCCTTCAAATCCATATGATAGCTGGGTACACCATTTCTTCAGTTCACCCCTCTGTCCTGCTTTCGATCTCGCGGGACAATGCAGGAAAACATCAGTGTATCACTTTTAAGAAACGCAGGGAAAGACGTTAAAAGCACGATCCGTTATGTGAAGGGGATTTAAAGTTTATCTTCAGTTCGTTCGGAGATGTTGACCATGATCACAGCTTGCTGCATTTACAATGACAGAGACCTCTCACAGAGAAGAGCATCATAACGTGTTCCTCCGCGCAGGCGAGTGCGTCGCCCTCTGCCGCGAAAGATAGTCCCGCTCGCAACACAAAGCCTATAAGCTCTGCAAGAAAACAGAGTATACAAATGAGAACATTACAAATGCGAACATTTTTAATTTTCCACCAGAATACAGTTTTAATAAGCAATTACGAAAGAAAGAAAGAAATTTAGTAAGGCTAATTATACCAATTACGAGCATGAAAAACACGCACTTGAAATGTTCATAATGTTGAACAAATACATAAGAGTGATAATTACATAGAATGCTAGACTCGAGTGCTAATTTATTGTTAATAGCACAAAAACAATATGACAGCTCTTGGTGCTCCCCCTGGCGGCGGCTGCCTGTATGAACACGCAAATAGAAACAAAATTGTTCACTCTTGTCCATAAAGGCCTCATTGGCATCCTCTGGTGGTAAAACAAACTGCAAAAATGATTTTCTTCATTTTCTTTTTGTCGTTTTCCATTTAAAATATCTAAACATTCAGAAATCAAGATACATTTACCTCAGCAGGAAAATTACTTAAGATATTAAGATAATTAAGATATTAGGTCTTGTTTTCTGAGAAAAAACTATTAAAATTAAGTCAGTTTATGATTAAAACAAGTAAGTATCTATCAATTGGATAAGAACAATTGTTTTGTTCTGTTTTGTTTTGCCTTTGAATTAAGTTTATTTTCCTTAATTACCCCATCAACAGTTTTTTTTTCTTTCTTGTTTTAGCATAAACTCACTAATCTTTGATAAATGTTACAGATAATATCTTTAAGAAATATTTGGTATTTGTACAGGAAAACAAGACATAAATACAGAGTAAGAAATTACATACTGGTAAAAAATGTATAGCCTGAATGCACTGTAAGTCGCTTTGGATAAAAGCGTCTGCTAAATGCATAAATTATTATTATTATTAATTATTATTAAATCATTTTTGTAGTGCAGCATCCCCAGAAGTTTTGATTGCAAGATATACTGTATGGGATAATGCTATAAACAATAACATACATGACTGCTGTTATTGCTAAAAAGCCACATGCTGAGTGACTCGTGTCTTAACATGCCTTTCACATATCCATGTGAGGCATCAAACTAAAAGATTTATTGAGGTTCCAATCCAGACACAGGTGGGTCCTTCTCTAACGTCACTTTATGATCACTTAGCGTTGGATAAGTCAGTTTCCATTGGCTTTTGTGGTCAAGAATTCCTTTCGTGATTTAATGGGAATTCTGGCCTACCTCTTAAATGCAATAATTCATAAATAAGTCTCTCATTAATACTATAAAGTCTGTACTGTATAATATTTGATACTCACATTTTATAGTCCTCTAAATTATCAACAAGAAATTGTTAAACTACATAAAACTACAGAGATTTGATCATAAAACTAAGCATTTAAATATCATCTTACTAAGACATATTATTGGGAGATACAGAGTGAAAACTTATATTTATATGTATTTTATGTAAGTAGTCTGCTATACTGATATTAAAATCTCATTGATTTACAATACAAGCTATCAGAATTTAATTTTACTTTTTGGCCATTTAATGTAAATATCAGCAACTGCACCAAATTCTATATTTTTGCTTAGTTTGGGCTTCTGAATTAAACAGAGGTGTTTTTTCCTCCTAGAGGATGATATCCAAATTCTCCTATCATACAATATGAGCCATAAAAGCCTGATCTAATATGATTCTCAACAAATATCTAAAAACAAAAGTTTGCATATTTTGTCTAAAGATTCAATAAACTGAATTTAGATCAAAATATGGTAAGTATCATGAGACGTGAAAGCATAAAGGTAAAAACCAAATAATAAACATGATGTTACTTATACCATGTCTAAAAACAATGGTAAATTGTACTTTTTTGTCGTTAATAAAGCCATTATGTCACTATATAATCCAGCTTAAGCAGTTTCCTCTGTTTCTAGTGCAATTATTTTGCATATCATACATTTGAAAGCAGGAAGGTATTACTATGAAAAATAATTAGTCCTTACAATAAATACTATGCTGATACCATAGTGTTTTATCATATGAAAATACATGGTACTTTGATATATATCATAGAACTAAGTGATGCCCAGCTGGGCAAGATGACTGTACATAACAGTGAGAATGGGATGAAATGAAAGATTATAATGGGAGAAAAATCAAACCAAGTGAGTAGTCATTAATGATTGAGGATCACTAAATAAATCCTGCCAGAACCTACCAGAATTTTGTCTTTCCTTTTTTTTCCTTTTCAGCCTCTCCATATTTCTTGTTCACAACCTCAAGTTTCAGTTCATTATTGGCATCTGCAATTACAAAATCAAGACACAGGTTAAAACAGAATTAATTAAATAATATTACAATTAATTAATTCATCAAATTGTGAACAACAATATGTTTGTGCATATGTATGTTCCTTCACAAACAATATTCATTCAGGCTCCAAACACAGATTTGTTCAGTAGATTCACAAGATTTGTTTAGTATTCTCCTTCACAAGCCATGCTCAAATGCCAGCTTGTGCTAAATTCAGTCTGTGGAAGTAAAACCCGCCAAAGCAGTTGTGCACTTCAAAAGGAAGAGACTTTAGTGAATGAAAGGTATAAGTCAGTGCAAGAATGATTTGTTCACTTAAAAGATTCATTTAACACAGAGATGTATTCATGAACCACTATAACAGTTCCTAATAGTGATGTTGGCCTTAACAGACACCGCTACACTCGCACACACACACACACACACACACACACTTTTTTTCATTTGTAGAGCAAGTTTCAGTTTTAGGTTTGTAGAGTACGTTTTATTTTGTAAAGTAAGGTTTAGCACATTGCTGTATGGTTTTTAAGATGATTTTGGTGATTGTGTTTTGATATACGGTTCCTAGGTTGTTCCAAGCATTTTTTTAGCACATTGTTATGTGGTTGTCAGGTTGGTTTGGTGGTTTCTTGTGTGTTGACATGCATTTGCCAAGATTTTCTGCGCAGTTGTTAGCGTGTTGTATTGCGATCGCTGGACTCTTCTGTTTGGTTTTTCATATGTTGTTGCGTGGTTGTTAGGATGTTTTGAGTGGCTGGTTGACATGCGGTTGTTTTAAACAGTTGAGTAGGGTAGGTTAGGGTCCCTCACATGGTTTGCAGCTTGACGTGCTGTGAGGGCTTGTGTGCATCAGTGATGCTGAGAGCTATGCCACTGGTACTTCACAACTACTGGTAGGGTCATCCATAGTGGACAGGTCTCAGCTGAGATGCCGGACGAAGACAACCCATCTGATTCAGGTCAGCAGGAGATTGGCCTGATGTTCCTGGTAGAAGATCACAGTCTTATAATGATGGGAGCAACATCAGAATTATCTGGATGGAAAGAACTTCAAACTGATTATTTGCATGGAAGTCATCGATGGATTGATGGAAGCAACCATTTAAACATAACAAGGAAAGTAACATTCTTCTGAGTACCCCCACTTAGACCGCAGTCACACCTTTTCCATTAAGGGACAATATTTGCCCCCTTAAATTGATTTAGGCTACATGTGCATTTTTACTGTTATAGGGGCAATTTTTTTCTAGCCTTATTAATTGTATGTCATGTTTTATGTCATATTCTTCACATTTCATTAAGTGTATTATTAATATAATAAATAAAGCAATAAATGATGGCAAAACGAAGTTATACTTGTAGATTCAAAACTAAAATCGCCAGTAGGTGGCGGCAAGTCCCTGTCTAATGAGCAAGGCGAAGCATTCATTCATTCAGTAACGAAGCAAATGGTTGTAGTTATGAAAGGGTTATTAATCAGTTCCGATTATCAGTACTCTCCGAATCATTCAAAGCTGCAGATTCATTCACCAAC